AAAAAAACTTTGTGTTACAAACTCTTTTTTATTGAATTGCATTTTCAAATAAAGCAGTAGAGTCATTATACTATTAATATGGCCAATAAATTTTCAATATAAAGTGATTGATATAGATACAGGAATAGTATCCTCCCTATAATCTGCATAAATTTAATAGAAATTTATTTTCTTAATACATACACATATTTTGTATGTACATATAAGTATAAAACTTGGTACTCATGATGCACTAAACTACTCGTAATTCATCGGTTATATTTCCTTTATTATCTACTATAAAGAATTGGGCACATAAATTTAAACACATTATGCATACATACGTGTATCAAGAAGGAAATTGAAAAAAGGATGTAGGTGGACGTTATAAAATATTTATGATCCTATTAGTTTACTGTCTAACTACCTTTTTTATATGTGTTCTTATACTATACAATCATATTATTTAAGTATTTAGTACTTCTGTATACATATAACATATTGTTACATTTTGCTTTTGCTTCTTCATATTATTATTTTATTGCCACTTTAGGTAAGGTGCACGAGAATTAAGAAATCGAGGTGCAATGTATATTTTATTTTAAAAAGTTAATAGAATTTTAAGTTACAATTATTAAAAAATGTTGTCTTTTATTTTTAAAATAATTTGAAAATTTATTGATTTTTAAAATTCTTAAAATTTTGTTTAAAAACAAAGGTCGGTACAAAATTGTACAAATTTCCTCTTTCTCACTTTTATTTTAAAAAGTAAATTAAAAATATTTCAATTTAAAAATATCTACGTATGTATATCTATTTAATAGTCAGAAATTAAATGGAGAAAAAATTAGTGTTTGAACAAACTTTCCAATTAGTAATAAGATTTATTTTATAGGTAGTTTAAAAGTTTAATATCGTTTTAAAAATAAATACCTATGTAAGTAATAAAATGTTTTATGATTTATGTCAAGGGTAACACTATTAAATAAAATAAACTAAAATTTATAATTAATTTATAATTATTTTTAATATATTAATTTATAATTTTATGTGTATGTAAAAGTTTTGAGTTTAATATATTTACTTTATTTGTCTTACCCACAATAACAGCGCATTTTCTCAAGTTTTCAAGTAACCCGAGCTGGTGTTTAATCTAAATTTAAGTGTTTGACCATCACCTCTCGATATAAGCAATTACAAATGGAATCTAGTGCGTGTCTTCATAATTTTAAATGTATAAAATTCATAACAAACTAATTAGGTTTTTAGGTAGGTCTCAAATTTTAGAATGATTTCAAAAATGCTATTCATTTTAAAATTTTGTCGGTTAGGTACTTTTTTGAATTTTCTAAAATTTAAGTTATGTACAGTTTTCTAGCAAATTCATAAATTTAGATCATTTTTATTAGGTCTAAAGATTTGCGGTGCCACCTGATTTTGGTTTTTTTTTTGTTATAGTGTGCTAAAAAAGACGCCTTTTAGTGCCAAAAATAAAAAATTAAATAAACATATTTTATTTCTTGTTTATATTATACACATATTATACATATATGTACATACATCCATTCATGTTAATATAGTCCAGACTGATAAATTACCCATATTGGATGTATAGATATTTATTGAACCAAAAATATTGTTTATTTTATCATAAAATAAAGAATAAGAAATTTTTTGGTGAACTTTTATATTGAAGAAAATTCAAGAATAACAAAAAAAAACTTTGATATTTTTGTTCTCAAATAGGTACATACATATATACATATGTATTTATTATCGAATTTTCGAAACCTTCCGAAATAAACTTTTTATAAAATGTTTACTTATAAATTACAAACAAATAATATATAATTGATGAGGAATATTACGAGGCAATTGTAGATAACGTTGAAAAATGATTGTATTGAACTAACTATAATGGTTTTATTTCAATTTATCTAAAAATGCAAATTGCGTATCTACTTAATTTAAGATTAAATTAAATCTTAAGATGCATCACAAGATGCATTTTGAGTTGTTCACTTATTTTAAGTGCAAATTCGTGATACATTCTCATGTTTAGTATATTATGTTTTTGCCTTATATAATCAGTTACGTTATTCAAATTCTAAAATGATGTTTGACTTAAATTTACTTTTTATTATCTATAATATTTAAATAATTATTATAAAACTCACCGTTTATATAAGCATTCATAAAACTCCATACTTCATATTGGAAATTTAAAGCTTAGCTATATTTTCAATAATCAGTTGAAATCAGTTTTCCGCTCCATCAATGTTTAATTTGTATTAACAGTTAAATAGTTCATTAATCGTTTTATGATCTTCTTTTGCCAAGCCAAAGCATTTCGATTAAGGTCCAAATGATGACAAAAGAGTTTATTATTATCTTAAAATTTTTTAATGTTATTTTCCATAAATTCATATTAACTGAATCATAATTTTAAATTGTCACCATTTTATTTTTTTTCTTTTTCATAAAATTTATCGCTTACGTTCTATATTATGTACATAGCTGGGATTCAATGAAAATTTCAAAAACATGTGTTGGAAATATTAAATTTTCATATGAAATTGTTCTTTTATACATTAAATACATCCGTTTTTACTTTTTCTTTAAACAAAAACAATAAGTTTATAAATACATTTATAACTAGTAAAAAAAATTATGCAACGTAATAAAATTATATTTGATCCATCAGATCAGATTTTCTTTTATATACCTATGTAGTTAATTTTAACTACATGTAATATACCTATGTAGTTAATTTTAAAATTTTTCGAAATGGAAGTTTTGACGAAAAATTTTGACGAGTTTTTAACGAAACTCCTTTCCATTGGACGTTTCAATTGATTGGAAATCACTAAGCCTTTCCATATCAATTCGATTCGTTTTTTTACAGTTGGTAGCAGTGTTCCCACTCGGTATAAAAAAATGTATCCAATTTCCAAAAAAAAAATGTATCCAAAATGTATCTAACCTCTTAAAATAGAATTATTATACTATAGTCGTCTTATTTTGTACAAATTAACCCATAATTAATATTAATTTGCTTTATTAGGAAATGTGAGTTTTGTTATTTATAGTAAATTCTTTAAGAAAACACACGCAACTTCTATTGCATTTTAAATGTAAAGGTTAAGGTCAGAAAATGTATGTATATGTCCTGTTGTTCTTGAACTATGCGGTAAAGACGATTCATCATGAAAACGGACAAATTTTAAAAAATATAAATTTGGTGTAAGCTAATTTAACGGACATTTCCCGTTCCTAACGGACTAAAATATTTCTGACACGTTCTTGTCTAAATATTCTAGATTTAAATACAGGAAGAGGCAGCGCTTATTTAATAAAGTATTTTTCTTGCTTTCTTTTAAAAAATTAGGAAACCTCCTTAGAAAAGTCAGCAAACAACATTTTTTGAAGATAAAGGAAATTCGGGATTTAATATTAGCAGCATTTTAACTGTTTTGTAATACTTATTTAGTGTTTGAGAAATAACTGTATCCATATTTTACCAAAATTTTCAAATGTAGCCAATTTCGGCATTTTAGCAGATTTTAGTATCTTTGTAGCCAAGCTCAAATTTAAAGCAAAAATGTATCCAAATGGATACAATTGTATCCAAGTGGGAACGCTGGTTGGTAGTTTGCCTTGTATGATTTAAATTTTACATTTAAGAATTATTTATATACTTCTTTTGACACTTAAAATGTGACAGAAGTGCTTTAACAATTCTGAATTTTAATATTATGATTTTTATTGAGCATTTTCGAAACAAAATGAAAACATCCAATGACTGAATCAAATAAAGCCTTTTCTTATGTAACGTAAAAGATGGCGATACCTTTTTGACATTTTTTCAAATGTACATACGAAACGGTTATGTAAAATATTTAATTGGGGATAAACGCATATTTTAGAAATACATATTTATTTCTTTAGGACAATTATGACTTTATCATCGATTTATTTTGTTTATAAACATAAAAATTGTTTTGCAATATGGCTAATGCTATAATTAAGCTCGGAACATTTCATTTTTATTATTTTCATAATTTCAATTTTATATGTTATGTACATTATGCCTATACATACATACAAACATAAATATGTTTCGGTTTTTGAAATTCGTGTTATGCTTTGAATTTATGTCAGAATTTTTTTCTTATTAAAATAATTTATCAAATTCAAACGTGAATACAAAAAAAAATATTATCTAATGATCTGAAAATAAAACCTCTGGTTTTGTAATTAAAACGCATTCATTATTCTCATTTCTTATTTTGTTTTTTAATTATGTTTTAGTAAAATTTTAAACACATTGCGCAATCCAAGTTTTGTAATAAGACTTTGCGTGTTACTTTGATAATGTTGAAACTAACTGTCTGTCAAATGTACACAATGATATTTTATTTTGATGTTTTACTCAATTTCTTCGTACATTAGTCTTATATTATTTGTCACTTCATCTTCGTGTTTGTTTTATTATAGAGAATATAAATGTAAATTCCAAAAAAAATTAAGGCTTTAACCGCATTGGACGGATGGTACGTAGTGATTAAGGTCCTCATACCCGTATATTATTTAAATTAAGTGACTTAAATGAACTACGCGTCACACAAAGTATTATAATTTTCGATTTGGTACATTTGGTACATGCGACGCGTTGGTACATTTTTTTTTCTATTTTTGGATTCTTTTTTTTACTGTCATATTGATAGCTAATGTCAATTTTCATGTAAAGCTACGATTTTAAAATTTAACGATAACTTATCTACGCTTCTTTCTGAAAATAAGTGTAGTTTTAATTTAAGAGATTTAGATTTATCCTTCTTTTGAAAAATTAAAAAAATAAATTAAAATATCCTTCTTTTGGAAAATAATTTTAGAATTTTGAAAGAAAAAATTAGAGTTGAAAATTATACATACATACAAACATATGTATGTATGTACATCTAACTTAATATTTATTAACAGCAACATACTTAAAATTCCTTTTTTAATTATAATTTTAGTTGATAGTGCTACAAATCCATCTGATGCTGATGCAAAAGGACCAACATTTTTAAAGGAACCCACAAATCGTGTCGATTTTTCAAACTCAACTGGAGCAGAAGTCGAATGTAAAGCAAGTGGTAATCCAGCACCAGAAATTATTTGGATACGTAGTGATGGTACAGCTGTTGGTGATGTTCCTGGTTTAAGACAAGTATCTTCTGATGGAAAATTAGTTTTTCCACCATTTAGAGCAGAAGATTATAGACAGGAAGTTCATGCACAAGTATATGCTTGTTTAGCACGTAATCAATTAGGATCAATTATTTCACGGGATGTACATGTTAGAGCTGGTAAGATAAATTTTGTTCTAAAGAGTGTAAAAAAATTGGTAATCAAAAAGCATTTTATGTGGAAATGCAATGAAAAAAAAATTTATGATTCACCAATTTTTAATTTTAATATTTTAAAAAATTACTTTTAATTCGGGATTGTAAATTGAGCGAAATTTTTAGTATTTTTAACTCAGTTTTATAATGAGTTCGAAATATTGATTGAGTTAATTTATAATTTCTAGAATTCTAGAAAATTTGTGAACTGCGATAGGTTCATTGTGTATATCAATTTTTCAGTGATCTTTTTTGGTCACATTCAATTTGAAATTTTCATTTTATAATAATTTTAACTTTGAACTTCAATTGAATTTTATCATTTCTCAAAATATTTAAAAATTTTTCAAGTATCCACCAAACTTTCACTTTAAGTAAGACAATGTGACATGATTCCAATTGAATATTGCTTCCAATTGATTTAGAAAAAAAAAGCTTACAAGTAATATTTTTTTACTTGAGAATTACATTATACTAGTGTTGATATTTACTAGTCGCTTATATACTCTCACATGCTGGTTAAAAAAATGAAATAAAAAGTGAGGCAAAAAATTTAATTTGAATTAATTGATATGAAAAGCTTAGTGATTTGAAAATTAAGCTCTTTACAATCCCGTAAGTATTTCAGATAAAAAAATTTTAGGTTGTTTTTAGGTTTTTTTTTTTCGTCTTGTTGAACTATTTGAGGTTGAATTTTCTTAATTTGGTTTTTGTTTGATTTAATGTTTTACACATCGTTTGCTGGCTTCGAAATTGTCATGGTTTCACCGAGATTTGAAGAAATATTCTGCATTCTTGCAATTGATCCACTCTGTTCAATTCAAATTTGACGATGGTTTTTTTGCAATATTTAAAAATCTGTTATGCAAAAGTTGTTGCCGATGATAGCTTATTACTCTATGACCTATGTTCTTAAATAAATCACGCAATTTCTGGTACTTACACCATATCTACATTTTTTGTATTTGGAATTACCATTTCTGTTCTGGATAATACGATAATTTTCTTTTGTAAAATTGATTTACTTGTCTGAAAGTTAATCTAGTCATAAAACATTGATTTATTTTAGTTTTTTTTTGTTGCAATCAAATTTTTTTAAACAAATTTTTTGAAAAAACAGGAACAATATTTTTTAAACAAAATATTGTTCCTGTTTTACAGTTTCACACAATTTCATATTTATTTCTGTTTTCTTTCCTTTAGAAAGTGACTACTTTGTCGCCTTAGTGACAGGTCACGCAAATCTGAACACTTTTCCATCACATAATTTTATTATGTTTATAAGATCTATGAAAATACATATTCAACAAAATAATCATAATAATGTGTAACATGAAAATTATATTATTGTTTTATAAATAAATGCTTAATATTAAGCGGTCACTGTAAACTTTTCAGTTTTGGTTTGTGTTTCACTTTCATATTCGTGCAATAAACACCCAAATAGTATTATTTATTATTAAGAAAATGTAAGTAGTTAGTATAGTTGTGTTGAATTTATTTGCATTTAATATCAAGTTGTATAATTAAGCGTTATGTGTGACAATGCCACTATAAAGAAATGGCGACAGGTACAAAAAAGAATTAATAAACAATTTAATGGATTTTGGCAATTAAGATTTAAATATTTGCTTATATGCCATGCTTACATGCCAATTCAAGTGTGTAAATATTATGAAGTAAATAAAATACAAAAAAAAAATGTTAGTCATAACGATTAAATTTTTATACATACATACTTAGTAAAAATGCTTTGCTACTTTTTCTTTATTATCTGTATATAAACTTTGACTCACATATATGGTTTATTGTGTATGTGAAATAAACAAGAGCCTCTTAAGGTCAATGGAAATTGTGTTGAAAAAATTAATATTTTTGTTTTATTTTTGCGCATTATACGCAAACAAGTTAATTTTCTTTTTAATTAGTCTTTATTGTTTAAAACATGTTATAAGAGATGTTTTTAATTAAATATTTGTATGTATATACCTATTACATACAATTACATTTTGATATATTTTGGTTATACAGAAATATTATAAATCAAATTCCTTTTAAAATTATACTTAAGTTTTAATAAAATAGAGAATTATATTTAACAAAGACCAATGCCAAAGGTCACGAAATTAAAACAAAAAGTACATAATTATGTTTAATTAGCCAAACATATATACATAAATACGCGTGTTTGCGTATATGCATATGAATAAACTTTCACTTTGTGAATTATTCGAAAAATATTTTCATTACCGGTAATGAAGCGATTTTCACATATTATAAAGTATGTACGTATATATATGTATTTCAAACTTTCAAATTATTTTAAAATATTTTAAAATTTTTTTGTTATTTTTGAATGTAAATTAAAAGAAGATTTTCATTTTTATTATTTTTTACGCTCCCCTTGCTGTAGATAATTTCGATTGCAACTACAATATTTTAAAAATAAATCCTGCATTTAATGAGAACGTTAAAATCATATAAAAGTAATACTGAAATATTATTTTTCTTATTAAATAAATATTTGACCAAGCCTTTGTATTTTTTTTTTTGTTTCAAAAATTTAATAGTCCTTTAACAAAAAAATGTAATCGGGAATTTTGTTTTTGAATTTGGAATGAATTAAAAAGCGATTTATATTATTTATTTAAAGTTAGCATTCAGATTTTTTAACTTAAAATTTCAAATATTAAGAAAATAAAGTTTTGTTTATGAATAATCAGAATTTTTGGACCCGTTTCTTTAAGTAAAGCTCGAAAATTTACCGAAATATTTCAAAATTTACTTACATTTTTATAAAAGCTCATTTACAGCCTTTTAAACGCTAATAGAATTTGTTTTATTTAAAAAAAATTGAAACACAAGAGAATTGATTGAAAATTCGATAAAAAATATTTAATATTTAGTTCGACTACACTATTATTATTTATTTTCGTTCAGCTGAGTTGCAGTCATAGTGAGTTAGAAAAATTCTGTTTCACAGTTTTTTAATCAAAATAGTACACCATCATTTCATATTTGTCTTCTCTGTACATGGACGTACAGTTGTTTTCTTTAAATGTGCGCCATACACCGTTTACGTCATTCTGTATAGTAAATTCCTGTTGTAGACAAGTATTTTTATATGAATTTTGCATATAATATGTAGTTACTACAGTTTAAAAATTGAATACTTTATGAACATGCGAGTTTTTTTTCTCTACGGACTATTTGTATGTCGTATACATACTTAAAATATTAGATTTACCTATCTGTCACGAACTAAAATCCTTTTATTTCTTGTCAGTTAAAGAACTGAAAAAAAAAAATTAAATAAAATAATTTTTCAAACAGTTGTTGCACAATATTATGAAGCAGATGTTAATAAAGAACATGTTATACGTGGTAATTCAGCTGTGATTAAATGTTTGATACCATCATTTGTTGCGGATTTTGTTGAAGTTGTTTCCTGGCATACAGATCATGAAGATAATTATTATCCTGGAACTGAATATGGTTTGTTTTTTGTGATATACTGAGAATATTAGAATTAAAAATCGTCATTTCTCAATGAAAGTGTTCTTAGAATTTAAGAGTTAAATTTATTATATTAGTTATAGGGTTTCGTTTTTAAAATAAAAGTAATTCCTCTCTATATCTCTCCTTAAAATTTTTTTGTCCGATAATATTTTACAGAAAATTTTTAATTGTTTTTTGATTTTTTACAATCACATTGTTCTACAAGTTTATTAAAGGTTTTCATTTATTATTTTCTTTTCTGTTATTTCAAATTTTACTATTTTTGTTTTTTTTAAATGTAAATTAACTTTTGAATCATATTCAATATATAGTTGTATCACAATATTATGAAGAGGACATTCATAAAGCGTTTGTTATTCGAGGAAATTCAGCAATTTTAAAATGTGATATACCATCGTTTGTTGCTGATTTTGTTAATGTTGTATCTTGGCATACGGATGAAAATGAAAATTTTTATCCTGGAACAGAATATGGTTGGTTATTGATTGTTATTATCCCAAAAAAAACTAATCTAAATAAAATTTAATAATTTGAAATCTTTAAATTTTAAATTTGTTTAAATATAAACTAAAACAAAAGAATAATAAAAGGAAGGGGGAAAATAATAAATTGTAGTATAACGTTAATAATTACATAATTCATATTGTATAATTATTTTAATATTACATTTTAAAATAAAAAAAAATTCCTTTGGATCCTGTTTTACTAGAAACCATGTTGTTAATCTTGAAATAATTTTATTGATTTTTATATTCTTGTGGTTTTTTTTTTTACAATTTTTTGGTTTTTTTATTTTCCGTTCGTCAATGATTATATATGTATATATGTTTTTCTTGGTTTTAAGATGCTATTTTACATTTTTAGTTGTTACACAATATTATGATACCGATGTTAATAAAGCATATGTTATACGTGGTAATGCTGCTGTTTTAAAATGTGAAATTCCATCATTTGTTGCTGATTTTGTTAGTGTTGTATCATGGCATACTGATGAAAATGAAAATTTCTTTCCTGGAACGGAATATGGTTTGTTCTATTATCCTTATATTTAAGATATAATATTAGGGATATATACTTATATACATATACAGAAAATTTCTTTGAATACTCATATCAAATGAAAAAAGTCTTCTTGAAGGGGGAATCAAATATACTCAAATATCCTTTGAAGTATTCGTATATATCAAAAATATCCAAATAAATAACCTTTTGTAAAACATTTTATTATATAATTATTTACTTTTCTATTAAAATTGTGTGCTTAAGTATAATTTTTAATTTAAATTTTTTGCATTCTTGTTTTTGGTTAAATACTTTTTGTTTTCTTTGTTTTTGTTTCTTGGATGTTAAGATAGAAAAGTTAAACACAGTCTTTTTTGTTTTGTTTTGTGAAAAGAAAATTTTTGCAATAAAATAAAAATTCAATTTGGCTTTGTATAAGGGGG